ATTATTTGAATGTATCTAATAAAATAATATTTCTGCTTTCTTTAAACACGTGTTTTTGGTCGTTCTTCTATCCATTTCTTTATATTTTTATTATTTTCAACATTGTTAATAATTTCTTTTAATGCTTTACATGGTTCCAATGCTTTTTGTACCGATTCTTGATCATCAAAGAAATGAGCGAATTCCATTAACTGAATATCGAATAACGACAACTTTTTGCCAATAAAATAGCCACGGTTGCTAGTATTTTTTTCAGCTTGTTTATTAAATGCTTGAAAAGACTTTGTTAAAGTATCTTGAAAAAAAGTTTTAAGTTGTTCACCATTATCCTTGTTTTTTTGTTCTAAAAAAAACATGTAAAAATAAAACAAAAGTAAGATTTAAAATATTAAATTTCCATTATGTTAACCAAGAAAACATAAAATGTTTTGATAAACAGTATTTTCTTATTAAAAAAGACTCATTTGTACGCATATTATCACTTCTCAAAACTAACATACTTCCCTGGTCAAAACTAACGTACTTTCTCACTCTTATTTTCAAAATCATGCATTTGACCAAGATTTCTATATCTCTTCGCGCTGTAAACTGACGATTGTGAGTCGAACCATTCAGTTTAGTTCGAAAACGACTACTAAAAACATTTAGTGAAACAAGATCGTTACCTTTGGCTTTCATGTAAGCTTGTTTTAAATCGATAAGTTGTTCACCAGCTGCATCGATTTGTGCTGCTTCCAAATCATTGTCACCAACCATACCAAAACGTTTAGCTATAAAAACAGCAAAATATTGTTAAGTACGTCGAAAAAAGTGGTTGTAAAACACATTTTATTTAGTAAGAACAAGTCGAGTTTAACATATTAAAATCATATACTTAATTTCCCATGTATTAATTTTGTCGTACTCGTCAGGTCCACGACTGTATTTCACAACGGACGTTTTGAGCAATTATCAAAGGCCCTAAACACTACTAGTTTTCAGGAGTAGATTCAAGCTTTCGTCGTAGCACAATTTATGTCGCAAAACTTTATCACATGAACTATAGAAGCACACCTAAAAATCGTTCGATAGCTTTCGATTGACTAATAGTGACTCCATCAACTTCTAATACTGGAATTTTTTCATTTAAATACTTGTGTTTATCAGCATCCCACTCTGGGCTGAGGTGTTTCCCATCATCTGCGAAGGTGAATGGATATCGATAATCTTCGAATTCTTGACCAGCTGCTTTGAATAACAGACGACATGTTTCGGCAAAACCGCGCGTATTAACATAAATTAATTTATACTTTGACGATGAAGATGTTGAAGTTGATGACATGATTTGGTAATGAGCAACTAATCTACAGCAGAAAGCATAAAACAAACCAGATAACTAATCCTATAGAAATTGTTTATATTTTTTACAGTACTACTGTTTATCCAAATTGTATCTCATTAATCGATGTCATAAACTGAACAGACAAGAGCGTAAAGCAAATGATGTTCATAATTAGCCTAGAACATACTCGAACAGAAGTTATGAAAGACAGTTCATTCATCCAAAGAAGTAAACATGTAGAAGTAGTGCGTATTTATTTGCTGGATGAGACTGAGCAATTTTTCGGAGATGCAACCGAACTGGGCGCCCGTTCTGGACTTGGTTAGGTCGAAAGTTATCAGCCAGCCGATTGCGAGCAAGGTGCTGCACTGGGCCCGCCGCCTTGGTTTATAACTGGAAAATATGACGGAAAAAGCATATTTAGTATCATTTTGTACTGCTCAATTCAAATGGAAGGATAATGGTTGCATTCTTTATTCTCTGCTTCAAATAATCATCTTTTTGCGGTCTATGTGTAATGCGTGCGTGTATTGGCTGGTCCCTTGACTTTAGTCTAGGGTCTTACAAAATAGTTGTCTGTGTGTGTGTGTGTGTGTGATACAAAGAGGTAAACAGCTAAGCAAACGTTTTCTGTAGGCCGGGGTGGATATGTATTGTCGTTTTGTATTGGGTAGGTGTCGCCGGATAGCAGTCAACTGTGACAATACAAAAAAAGTGGTATACGGGTAATAAAATTGACAGTGTATTATAACAAATCGATTAGACATACTGCCAACCTCCTTGGAATCTGCAGAGGGTGCGCAGAAAACCTTTTAGCTTTATATTACATTAGGTGGTTTTCCGGTGGAATCGGAGAAGTTTATAGCATTTCTCATCTACACTGGTTGCGAACGCCGACAGAAGGGAAGCGTGAGGATTGTTTTGAATTCAGAAATAGTTTAAGAGCTCTTGAGATTTCTGCTCTTTATATTCATATTAGATTCCGAACCCCAGATGAAACACGTCTTCTAAGACCTTGCTAGATCTGATGTTTTCTTGTGAAATCTTGTAATAAGGTCTTACGATATGATCATACAAGTTCTGGTTATGAGAAGTGACAAGCTCTTGTAAAACCTTATGACAAGAATTCATATGATCTTGTAAGATCTTACAAAATCTTGTACCAGACATTGTTGACTTTTATATATTTTTTTGTCACAAGACTATATAAGAACTTACAAGATCATATGAATTCTTGTCATAAGATCTTACAAGATCTCATAAGATCGATGACTCATCTCTACCATATAAATTTTGCGACGTAATACAGTATATATATAACATCATTCTCTTTGAAAGCCTCAAACGTTTTTCTCTTTTGAACTTCACACGTCAGTTGAGCACATACGAAGTGCATGGTTAAGAAACGTGGCAAAAGACGGTCCTGTGGCCACCTAGGGCCAAATGTTAAAAATTATATTAGAAACAGAAAAATGCAGAGGTATAGAGGATTCGACAGGAAATGATCAAGCGTATGATCTTGTAAGATCGTATAAAATCTTGTGACTTCTTATAAGGTCGTATAATTTCTTATACCTTCTTTGTGTAAGATCTTGTACATTCCTATGATAAGAAAAATCTTGTAAAATCTTATAAGAATCTTGCTACAAGATGTCATATGAAATCTTGTAAGATCTTATAGGAAATTGATAAGAATTGATAAGATCTTTTGAAATCTTATGATTTCTTATTATACGATCACCCAAGATCGTATATGATCTTGTAAGATCTTGTTATCTAACCCTTGGACCTGGGCACATCGATTAAGGTGTTTACTATCGTAGGCAGAAATGTCTGGATCACTGCATCCTTTTCATTTCTCATTTGGAATAAGGAATTTACCGTATTCTTATATATTATCTATTATTAGGGTAGGTCTATTGACACCTCGGGGGTGGCAGCAGCGAGCTGTTGACAGTCACTCTTGTGATTGTCCTGTTGAAAAGAGACTTGTTACCAAGCAGAATTCTTCATCTCTCTTTCGCATTGTCAACACAGAATAAACCAATGTTTAACGCAAACAAAGTATAACGAGTTGTATGAATACAAACACAACACTAAAAAACGGCGCTAAAAAGTTACGTTAAGTTCAAATGTATCATTGACAGCTATAGAACAAGGTAACACTCGTCTCCACTCGCTGGGTCCTTGACTTTATTAAGTTGGATCATCGCAAGCGAACGACCTTTGATGACTTATAACGAGAAGAAAAATTTTGCTTAGTCAGAAGTTGTTTTCAATTGGACAGTCACAAGAGTGCATAAATGACTACACAATATAACATACGACATTGTCCAGTATCTTCTTAGCACATGCAATTGAATTGCATAGAAGATACTGGACAATGTCGTGTGTTATATTATGTAGTCATTTATACACTTGTGATTGTCCAATTGAAAAGAGACTAAGTAAAATTTTCTTCTCTTTTTCGCACCGTCAGCAAAAAATTTTCTTCTCCTTTTCGCATTGTCAGCA